CAATTCTCTTTCAAATTTTGTTTTTGGGCCAAGAAGCAACATAAGGCTCATTCAACCTTTTTTCATTTTTCTACAAATCACCCTTTTTTTACTTTACCATTCTTATACATAATCTAAATTAATATTTTTATTAAATAAAAATAACACATTTTTACACAAAATTTTCTTAATTGTTTCTTTTTTATTTTATTACATTTTAAAGAAAATATATGAACATTAATTTTCTTAAAGTTAAACAATTTTCTTTTCTTTTCTTTAAAACCCTTTTGTATAGAAACTAAAATACAAATAATAATTTTCTTTAAACTTAAAACATTTTTCTTTTCTTTGAAACTTTTGTTTCTACACATTAACAAAAAGCACAAAAAGAATAAATAAAATACTTAATTTTACATTAAGTTAAACATCTTAGCCACTTGTAAATAATCATATGCACTTACACCAATACATTTGCTTACTTTTATTCTTGTACATTGATACATGTTACATTGAGATGGCGATTCAATTTGGTTGTAAATATATTCGGACACTACTATCCTGATAAGTCTCATCCCCATTTGTAAATATTTGTACCCCCATTCCCAGATACTTATTTGTAATAGCTTAGACTTTAAATTCCCGCAATTTATCGCTTTCTATATACTGTATAGTAATTAGGGTTTGTATGCGAAGATTTAAAATCAACCGCTAGATAACCTAATACAAGATAAATGCATGACAATCAATACACAATTCACACTTGCACCCCTAGGGTAATCCCGCTTGTTGCCTTCCAAAAATGGGCCATGCTTGCACGTTGAGTTTCTTTGGCAAAACAATTCAAATGATCATAGTCCCTCGATGACGCTTTCGAAGTTGCCTAAACAAAATGATCATAGTCCCTTCAAGAAAATTGCTAAAGACACTTGGCACCATTGCATTCATGGTCTAAACGATGACCCGCGCATGTCCCGTTAACATCCTAACACAAGATTGTCCACCAAATACAATGGTGGAACAATACTGTTAAAAGGGTTAAAACATGAGAAAAATCTTTGAGTAAATTTAGGGGTAGACAACTCTTAGTTACTTGATCAAAATTGAAAAACGCACTTTCCTACTTTTCAAAACACACTCCACAAAGACAACTTTCAAAACAACTTTCAAAACAACTTTCAAAACATTGAAATATCTTTTCTAAAAGACAAACACCTTTGTAAAACATTCGAGTAAAGAATTGTTACAACGGTTGCCTAGACAAGGCGTCTTTTTCAAAACATTTTCAAAACACACACACACACACCACCATTTCAAGCAATTGAAAATCAAGGCAAGTGATCTAAAACAAGTAACTAAGAGCCCATGGATAACCATGGATGAAAAGGGTGCTAATACCTTCCCTTTTCATAATCTACCCCCCGAACCCACAAAACATCTCAAAAAGTTTTTCCTGTGCTTTTTAACCTTTCCTTAGGATAAAATAAAAAGTCGGTGGCGACTCTTGCAAAACCGAACAAGTGCGAATACAAACGCAAAAACTCAAGTCAGTTCTCCCACCGTATCACAGATGCCTTCTCTAAGGATGTCACCTAGCCTGCGCCTACTCTGCAACCCATGCCACCTCTTATTCACCAACAGGGATGGCGACACCTTTCATTTTTGTACTGTTTCACCAAGTCCAATGGCGCCTCCCTTCATGTCCAATCGTGTTACATGCATGTAGAGATGCCTTCTCCAAAGTTGCCACCTAGCCTACGCTTACACTGCACCTACACTACAACCTATAAGGCGCCTTCCATCATGTCCAATAGTGTTACATGCATTCAGAGATGCCTTCTCCAAGGCTGTCACCTAGCCTGCGCCTACTCTGCAACCCATGCCACCTCTTATTCGCCAATAGGGATGGCGACACCTTTCATTTTTGTACTGTTTCTCCAAGTCCAATGGCGCCTCCCTTCACGTCCATTCGTGTTACATGCATGCTGATATGCCTTCTCCAAGGCTTCCATGTAGCCTGCACCTACACTGCAAGAGTGACACTTATCATGCATGCATGCACCCACCTACCACCTCACTTACTGTATGAAATTTTTTTGCCTATAAATACAGAGCATTACATACTTCTCTCGCATCCACAATCGTCTCACTCTCTGCTACAAACTCTTTCATAATCTCTTACAATTTCAAACTCTTTCATAATCTCAGGCATTTTCAACAATGACTCTTCTCACAATGGACAATTCTCACAGAGGCACAAGGACAACATTGCAGCATTTGTAAGTTTCTTTTATACTTATACATTTTTCATACTTCTAGTAATGCTTTGTTCATATTACTTACCTACTCTTACACCTTTTACATTATTATCTTAGGATGCTAAAAGATTCATAATCCGGTCACACAACTACCTTGCTCCCGACCCGTTGATCGTACCATATCTCGATTATGCAGGTTTCGGAAACGTTATAAAGATCTCCAACTGCACAATTGATTCAAAGTTCATACTTGTAATGTTGGAAAGGTGGAGACCAGAGACCCATACATTTCATCTACCAATAGGTGAATGTACCGTCACACTAGAGGACGTGTACATGTTATTGGGTCTCCCTGTCGACGGTAAGGTGGTTAACGGGTCGGTTTAACAATCCAATTCTCAGTGTGAAGAATTGTTGGGTAGGGATATGGTTGAAGGTGGTGATGCGAGAGGTCAGGGTATACTACTAACTGAGCTAAAAAATCATTATGCGACTCTGGAATTGAACGAAAATTCCTCCGATCTAGCTAAGGTAATAAAAGCTAGAACTTATATAATGATACTATTTGGAACCTTTTTATTTCCCGAAAGTACGGGAAATAGTGTAAATTTTATGTATTTAAATTTACTTAGAGACTTCGAAAAAATTAGAAAGTATAGTTGGGGTTCTTCTGTTTTAGCCCATCTATACAGTTCCTTGTGTAAAAATGAAATCAAGGAAAAATGTATATTTTATGGCTGCGCTTTTTTATTTCAAGCCTGGGGTTGGTGGAGGATGGAGTCCCTAAACCCCGTCAACAACAACACATTCATTTTCCCATACGCAACAAAGTAAGTCATCAAGTTATATCATTTATTACTATTCATCTATTCACCAAATATATGATAAAAATAAAATATTTTTTATTTCCTTTAGGTATTGCTTGCGGGGTATGGATTACGGCAAGAATCCAAGATTCAATGTCACACTATACCGCAATCTATTAGATCACCTTGGCCCGGATGATGTACGACGTACCTTTCAACTTTTCTACTTTTAAATTATTTATATATTACGTTTTCATTAACTTGATTTAATTTTATTTGCAGTTTGTCTGGAGACCATATTTGGGTTTGGGCCATGAACCAAACCCCGATGATGCAGCAATTTGGAGCGCAAAGACTACAATCATACGGTTCAATGTTATGGAGATACACCACATCGACCGTGTAAAGATGCAGTTTGGAATGCATCAAGAGATACCCAGCGATCCGACTTGTTTGTCCCTGTGGCATCTCAAAAGGGTCAATGCCCAATGGGATCTTACCAACTGGAAAGACTTTGCTCTAGAATGGTGTAAGATGTGACAGAGGCGTCACCGACATGTCTTGCAATTCCCAGTTTTCCTCAACCATGGTAATATTCGACACACGGATCAGTATTTATCTTGGTACAGATCGGTTAGTACTCCTGAAATGCACGTGTCTCATCCAAGGTATTTGGTTGGCCCACGAACACAATGGGCACAACCCACATTTCCCCAATAACAAACCCAACACACATCAACCTCCCACCAACCCCCCCGACGAAACAGAACCACAAACACCCAACCACAGTCACCACCACAATACAATTACACCCACATGCCCCACAACCAACCACAATCACCACCTCAGTACCAATACCCCCATATGCCTCACACCCAACCACAATTTCAATCACAATACCAACACACCCGCATACCCCACACACAATTTCAGTCTTCTGCATATCCCAATATGGGCCCCTCAACATCTAACCTTAGCCCTGATCTGGGATTGTCCGAGGATTATGAACCAACCGACCCAACTTACCATCAACCACAACATCACCAAACCACCCAACATCCTCAATACCAAACACCCCCAAGATCCATTTCCTTTCTACCCCCCGTACTCAGACGACCAGTGCTACAGACCAACCATGGAACACCACCCACCACCAACACGACCAAACTTTAAGGGTATGGGTAACCGACTGTACCAAAGCGGATCTTCTAGATATGGAGATCTGACTGATTTCATGGATCCGAAACGCATTGACTTCGTTGGGCCATCGACCCTGCCACAATAGGAAACGCGACGAAACCTAGCACGGGAAAGGCGAGGACGGGGATGCGGAACCGGGGGTCATTACTGGGTTCTGGGGGACCACTGATTAATCTGTTTTTTTTATGTGATAGTTATGTGTGTAATCATATTTTGTAAATAAAAAGTCAATTTTATTGATCCTATATCGAATACGTAACGCATCGCATTGAAAAAAAATGCGAAAATTTGCCTTCCAATTGCACTAAGGCGCCATCTCACTTGGCTTAGGGCAAGCCCTTAACACCTAGGCGCCAAGCGAGATGGCGCCTCCCCTTAAAAATTAGGTGTAGGCGCCAAGTGAGATGACTCCTCCCTTGGGGAGTTTTCTGAAACATGGTTATTTGCGTAATTTTTTCCGAAACATGGTTATTTGCGAAAAATAATTTAATACATGGTTATTCCAAAAAAAATTCGCCTATTAACTATCACGACTAATTTTATGCTATTTTTTCGCCAAGAAAAACTACGATTAACGCTTTTCACTCTTTCGCTGCAGTTTCCTTGATCCTGTTTAATTAGTCTAATACTAACAAACTATCTCTATATATAGATGTAAAGCCTAACACTAATAACCAAGAAGAATACACTCACTTTTTCACAAGTGTTTCGTTTCACTTTTTTTATTATTGTTTTCAAAAATCAAATTAAAATCAACAAAATGTACCGGGTAGCAAAAGCATCAGGATACCTTGTAATTATCAAAGCCGGAGTCCGAGACATCAAGCTTGCAAAGAAAGCATGGATTCTTCCTGGCCAATCCTGCACCGTCTTCGATCTTTCTCTGATGAACTATACCTTCGAAGTTTAAGCTATGAGCGCCGAGAAACTCCCTTTTGTTGTTCATGCTGTCTTCACAATCGGTCCTCCTATCGACGATCAATAAAGTCTCCTCAAATACGCCAAACTGATTTCACCTTATGATAAGCTTTCCAATAATGTTAACGAACTCGTTCAGGGAATCATTGAAGGCGAGACGTGTGTTCTTGCTGCTTCGATAACGATGGAAGAGGTTTTCAGAGGAACAAAAGAGTTGAAATAAGAAGTATTCGAGAAAGTTCAACTTGAACTTAATCAGTTTGGATTATTGATTTGCAATGCAAATGTGAAACAATTGGTTGATGTTCCAGGTCATGAATATTTCTCATATTTAGGGCAAAAGACACAAATGGAAGCCGCGAATCAAGCTAAGGTTGACGTGGCGGAAGCTAGGATGAAAGGTGAGATTTGTTCGAAATTGAGGGAAGGACAACGTTGCAGAATGCCGCGAAAATTGATGCGTAGACGAAGGTTATTGCCATCCAGAGAAGTGGAGAGGGTGAAAAGGAAGGAATTAAAGTGAGGAGTGAAATGAAGGTTTTTAAGAATGAGAGACAAGCTGAAGTGGCCCAAGCTAATTCTGAGTTGGCTAAGAAGAAAGCAGCCTGGACTAAAGTGGCTCGAGTGGCTGAAGTTGAAGCTGCTAAAGTTGTGGCTCTTAGAGAAGCTGAATTGCAAGGTGAGGTGGAGAAGATGAATGCTTTGACAACAACTGAGAAGCTTAAAGCTGAGTTTTTTTAGTAAAGCTAGTGTTCAATATGAAACCAAGGTTAGATACTCCATGCAAATATATGTATGTAAAGTTATTATAACTCATGATTCATTTATTACAATTCAATGGCCCTACATGGTGTTGCCTTTTATGACCCTATTGTTAGTGCACGGGGCACTTTTAGTGGAGAGAGAAAGAGAGAATAATAAAATAAATAACAATTTATATTATTGAATTGTACAAATAATAATACAGACTAGACTAGGACTATTTATATACAACTCTAATTGGGCTTGAGTTTACACAATTTGGATTATATTTAAATATTAAATCAAATCAAATCAAATATTTTAACAAATCAAATTTAATATTTCAACACACCCCCATAATCCAAGTTGTCGAACATCCTAAAAAAATAAATAATCTGAATTATTCCTAATTTCTTTCTCAAATTCAGGAATTTGTCAATCTTCAATTCTTTGGTGAAAATATTGGCCAACTGTGCTTCACTCGAGCAATGTCTTACTTCAAGTTCACCTCGATTTACCTTTTCCCTCAAGAAGTGAAACCTTGCTTCAATAAGTTTACTTCTTCCATGCAAAATTGGATTCTTCGCCAGATTTATGGCTGACTTGTTACCGATTTGCAATACAAGAGGTTTCTTCACTTCGACCTTTATTTCTTCAAGTACAGACCTTATCTAAATTGCTTGACATGCAACATAGGATCCTACTATATATTCAGCTTCACAAGATGATAATGCCACCACATGTTGTTTCTTCGAACACCATGAGATTAAGACACTAAATACTTGAAATAAATATTCAATTGTGCTTCTTTGATCGTCCATATCTCCACACCAATCAACATAAAAAAAATTAACTATTCCTTCTTTGTCTTCAGAATCTCATCGAAATAGTATTCCACATTTTATCGAACCCTTCAAATATCTCAGGATTCTTCTTGCAGCCTTTGTTGAAAGCGGTGTAGCGGCAAACAACAAAAGTTTTGAAAATATTTATCAGGGAATTTATTGTGTCCATAGAGATGGTTATTGAATTATCGTTTGATAAATCTCTCATTAATGAGTTTGGGGTTGAATGGGTTTTGTAAAGAAAATGTCATTAATAGAAAATAAATGTAAACAAAAGTAAAAACTAAGGAAGAACTTATCAAGTCTGCATATAATCTACTCATCACAGACTTAAATCTATCGACCTATTACATTCAACCTAACAATACTCATCAATATCACTATGTATCACTCACAACCTAAGTTATTTCTAACCCAAATTGAGACACCGACTATATCACCAAGGAAATGATCTCTCTACCTCCTTAACAACACAGAAGATAACTTATGTAATCACACTGACGATCTCTCAGCACAGCACAACCATACAGAGGCATTAAACTCTGATACCCAAGTAGATGTCAACTCTAAATCTATCTCTTGAGTTCAGAAACTAACAGATAATCATCCTAGATAAGAATCTAAGCAGTCTATGTCTATAACAACTCAAATCCCTAGCATAGAGCAAAAATCCAGGACAACAATCGACAAAGATTTATAAAGCAAGTTTAATATAACGCCATGGGCGACAAATATACATAAGTTCAATGTAAAAAACATACAAAACCTGACAAAAGAGAAATGTATAGAGAGGAAAAGAGATAAACCACAAATCTTTTGGTTTGTCAGAGCCGGTCAATGAGAAACCCACCTCCAATCATCCATAAGCAAAGCCCTAGTGTTGTTATCTAAGCTAATCCACTACAAAAATGTGGTTTGGTTAACAAACAAGTGATAATTCCTAAAGCTAATTGAAACAAAAACTTTCCTAAACCTAAGGGAGTAATTACTTCCACAAAGTTTCAAACAATAGAATTTCAATCAAAATTCTTCTTCATCACAAGTTTCACACCAACACACATCACTTATTAACAAAACATTATTCCATACTCTTTTTTGTTTTTCTTTTTTCAACGCTTTTTCAATTTTTCTCTTTCTTTTTCTATTTTTTCTATTTCACCGTTTTTTTTTCTTTTCTTTTTCTTTTCAACCTCATAGAAACCGATCAATAAATATACAATCATTTTTCTCCCCATCTTGAATTCAACCATACATTAAAGTGAATACTCCCTACTTTCTAAGGCAGGGTAAAATTTCAAACCAAAACAATGGTTAAGGGTTCAAGAAAACAACGAATCAACATCCATGCAAAAAGGGAAACTAAACACTCATAGACAAGCATTTAGCAAATACAACATGAATATCGATAAAAAGCTCAAAGGGGTTACTAATGATCACACACTCACAAGGTAAATTGACTATTTGGCTAGGTAGTTGTGCTCAAAATGAAACAAAAATGCCTTGATCCTTTTCTTGCATTCATACAATCAACAAAAAACAAAAGATTAAGCATAATAAAATCCAGTTAAAACAAGAATTGTGGTCTCCAGCATATGTGAACAATGGAAAGATACCTCACAAAAAGGATAGGAACTAAAGTGATTCACAAATGAACAAGTATACAAAATAATGAATGGCATAAAAATTGTAAAAGTCTAAGTATCATGAATATGCTAAAGTATAGAAAGCGATAAATACATACCTCATACATGTACAAAACTTTAACAAAACCATTACCGCACATTCGCAAGTCGAAACGATCAAACTTGATAAATCACCTTAATATTCTATAAGTTACCGGACCAAAACTTGAGTGCAAACAACAATAAAAGAATTAAAAAAATAATACTCCTACAAAATTTCAATGTACAAAATTTACAATATATACAACGAACGAAACTCCTCAAGATAAACACGACAAGCTTTCAGAAACATAAATTGACATAACAAAACAAATACAAATAACGATATGAAAATCGGGTGAAAATGAATTAACAAGTTGAAAAGTGAAGATTTGAAATTAAGAAATTTCCTTGTTTCAACTTGTTAAAGCACAAATCACCACACACATAAACAAATACAAACAAACATGCTTGTTTTACGTCGTAAGCTCGACACCTTTATTGTGCAAGCTAGTAACCTCCTCTCATCATGCCATGGTATTGTCACACCACGCAAACCTAAAGAAATTTTCCTAACAATAACACAACAAATGTTACAAAAACGAGACAATTCACAACAATACGTGAAAACAAAGAAAAACACACATATATGCACAAATATCATATACAAGCTAATATACAATTTCTATACAACATATACATTAATTACAAAACTCAAAAACAAAATAATTATCGTAATGCGAAATCAATAGAACCAATCCCCGGCAACAGCGCCATTTTGTTGGAAGCGGTGTAGTGGCAAGCAACAAAAGTTTTAGAAATATTTATCCTGGAATTTATCGTGTCCACGGAGATTGGTTATTAAATTTCTGTTCGACAAATCTCTCGTTAATGAGTTTGGGGTTGAATGGGTTTTGTAAAGAAAATGTTATTAACAGAAAATAAATGTAAACAAAAGTAAAAACTAAGGAAGAACTTATCAAGCCTGCATATAATCTACTCATCACAGACTTAAATCTATCGACCAGTTACATTCAACCTAATAATACTCATCAATGTCACTACGTACCCCTCATAACCTAAGTTATTTATAACCCAAATTGAGAGGCCGACTGTATCACCAATGAAATGATCTCGCTACCTCCTCAACAACACAGAAGACAACTTATATAATCGCATTGATGATCTCTCAACACAGCACAACCACATAGAGGCATTAAGCTCTGATACCCAAGTAGATGTCAGCTCTAAATCTATCTCTAGAGTTCAGAAACTAACAGATAATCATCCTAGATAAGAATCTAAGCAGTATATGTCTATAACAACTCAAATCCTTAGCACAGAGCAAAAATTCAGGACAACAATCGACAAAGATTTATAAAGCAAGTTTAATATAACACCATGGACGACAAATATATATAAGTTCAAAGTAAAATATATACAAAACCCAACAAAAGAGAAATACATAGAGAGAAAAAGAGATAAACCACAAATCTTCCGGTTTGTCAGAGTCGGTCAATGAGAAATCCACCTCCAATCATCCATAAGAAAAGCCCTAGTGTTGTTATCTAAGCTAATCCACTACAAAAATGAGGTTGATGGAGTTGAGAGAGAAAAAATCACCCCCCAAAACCATGACCCTCCAAATGAAACAAAAAGGAAATATAAAGAAAATTTGATCCGCAACCATCGCCCGACGATATAAAAGCGTCGCCCGACGACAACTCTTATTACAAGACCAAAGAGAAGCCACGTCCTCAACTGAAACAAATATCTATTGTCTCCCAACAACCACAATTCATCGCCCAATGACTCTTCTTATTTTCGCTCGGCGACGCTCCCTTTTGCCCAGCGACGCATGGCAGAAATAACAAGGAAATTTGACTTCAAATTTCGCCCGGCGACGCCTTCCTTTCGCTCGGTGATCCATGATAGGAAGGCAACTTCTTTTGCTTTCTCTGCATAACTTCCAATGACTTCTAATCTTGGCCTTATTCCTTTATTGATCCAAAAATGTATCTTAGAGCTTTATTCCTATTACTCCAACAATGCTCAAATACCTACAAAATAAATACAAAACTATCAAATGATACACTTTATACAAGAAAACATATTATACACAAACTAAACGTATTTATACACAAAGTTAGGTTACTCAACTAATATTAACAACCAAGATTCGATAAGTGCAACAAAAAGTCTATACAAAATAACTACACTTTTGCACTTATCAGCCTTCATATGTGACACTCTTGGTTCACTCATATATCTGCTTACTAATCCTACAGCGAAACCTATATCAGTTCGACTGTTGCATGCATACCTCAGAGATCCCACAATTTTCTTGAACAAAGTTACATCGACTTTGTCTTCCTCTCCATTCTTCTCGAATTTTACATTTGGTTCGACAAGTGAGGATGCAGGATTGGAATCATCCATTCTGAATCTCTTGAGTATTTCTTTGACATACTTCATTTGATGTAGCACCATACCT